CAGTCTCTGCTGTGGCTGCCCACCTGTGGTCACTCTGCAGTGCAGCTGACCCCAGTGGTCACTCTGCAGTATGCAAAAATATAGCTGCTGGTCTTCATGTCCATCACTCCCAGAGTTTTGTCCCTAGGGTGAATGCTGCCATGACTGTGCCAGGCCCTGTGCCAGCTGTACCCCTTCACCCTCCCATGCACCTGTGCAGTGTCAGCCACAATCAGACACATAGGCCTTGCATTTCTAACATGGGTCCTCACCGTCCATAGCGAGGCACCTATACACAGAGACTGTGTCTAGACTGGCAAGTTTTTCTGCAAAATCATTCCGCTTGAATTTCCGGAAAAGCACTGACGATCTCATGTAAAATCATCAGTGCTTTTCCAGAAATACTATGCTGCTCCCGTTCGGGCAAAAGTCTTTTTCCGAAAGACTTTGGCACAAAAGGGCCAGTGTAGACAGCATAGTACTGTTTTCCGCAAAAAAGCCCCGATCGCAAAAATGGCGATCGGGGCTTTTTTGCGGAAAACCGCGTCTAGATTGGCCACGGACGCTTTTCCGCAAAAAGTGCTTTTCCGGAAAAGCATCCTGCCAATCTAGACGCGCTTTTCCGAAAATGCTTTTAACGGAAAAGTTTTCTGTTAAAAGCATTTCCAGAAAATCATGCCAGTGTAGACATAGCCCGAGTGTTTTATAATTTGCTTTCTGCCACCGAAGTCAATGGCAGGCTCAGGTGCGCAGTGCCTTTGAAAAGTTGTCTGCTTGTATTTAGGGGCCAGATTGCCACAGGTATTTAGGCACAAAGGTGCAGATAGTTTTTTACAAGCACCTAAGTGAGTTAGGCACTTAATTCCCATTAGGGATGTAAGTGACTAGTTGACTAGTCAGCTCTCCGACTAGTCGCTTCCCCCTCTATCAGAGAGGGGTAGTAACGGGTGGGGAAAGCAGGATCCAGTGCTGGGGGGAGCCAGCTTAAAAGCCAGTTCCCCCCAGCACCGTCTCCATGGGGAGAAGGTGCAGGGGCACAGCGGGAAACTGGAGGTGCTTCTATCTTTGAAATGTAGCAAGAGCAGAAGTACTGCGGGAAGCCTGGGATGAGCTGGGAACTCCAACAGCCCCCCGCTGGCCCTGTGCTCCTTGTGCTTTGCTTTTTGAAGTGTACAAGAGTCCTCCCAGGGCTCTTGTACATATCAAAAGCAGGGAGCGTGGGGCGAGCGGGGGACTACCTGAGTCTCCTGCTGGCCTTGCTCCCCGCAGCACTTCCACCTTTGAAATGTAGCAAGAGTCCTGCTGGCGCTTGCTACATTTCAAAAGCAGAGGCACCCTTATTGATTAATCGAATAGTCAATGCAAATTACATCGACTATTTGTTGAGTTGATTAATCTAAATTTAACATCCACCTGCAATCAGACAGAAGCATTACAACCTGGAGGGTACAACATGATTATGAGCCACAGGCCACAAAGGCCCATGGATGGGAGGGACCTTGATTAAGTGACATATGCCCAGAGAATCCAGGCAAGTGATCCATGCCCTGTGCTTTTGTCAGAATCAATAAACCAGAGAATAATTTACTCTGTGCACATCCTTTTTTCCCCATCTGTAAAACTGATTGTTGATGGTCTCCCTTTTACTTCAAACGTTGATAGGGTCAGAAAAATGACTCAAGAGCCCAGGTGGAACTTGTGGTTCTGGAAGAGGCGCAAAAGATGTTTTCGTTACAGTCCAAAACCGGTCATTTACTAAGTCACGGAGACAAACAGACATCACTCCCATGTTGTCACTTTCCACCATGTAACTGTACTGTGACGGCCTGTTAGGGGGTTTGCAAGTTGCAGTTAATAAATGAAATGATTGAGACGATGCTGCTAGCTGGGAAATGACGTATGAAGAGACAAGGAGGAGAGAGGTTAAAGGATGTGACCATGGTCCTACAGCAAGGTGGCGGCACAGATGGGATTCCATAACAACCTAGTTCTTTACATCTTTAGTTTATTTTAAGGATGTAGGTCTTACCCACCCTGACAATTCCTACAGTATATTTTGGGTGGTGACTGGTGCCACCTGATTCAGAGGAAGAAATCAGAACTCCACAGTAGCAGATGTGGAATAATCTGCCTCCCAGATTAGATCTCATCCTAGTTACAATTTGTCTTACACCCTGATGCACAGTGTTTAATGGCCCTTCCATATATTACAAATATTATAAACCTAGCTAACCCTCATAGCGCCCTATCACTAGGATAATTGTTATTCCCAAAGAAATTATGTGATTTGCCCAATGCCCTAGAGAGAGTTCCAATCAGAAAAGGATTGGCAAATCAGATGTCCTGATACCCCGTTTTCTATTCCAACCATAGTCTGGCTGAACAGCTATTT